CATCTTCTTCATAACGACCTATCTCACTCTCCTCCACATTTCCAGCTTCTTCATAACGGCCTATCTCACTGTCCTCCACATCTCCACCTTCTTCATAACGACCTATCTCACACTCCTCCACATCACCAAATTCTTCATAACAACCTATCTCGCTCTCCTCCACATCTCCATCTTCTTTCTAACTACCTCTGTCACTGTCGTCCACATCTCCATCTTCTTCATAACAACCTATCTCGCTCTCCTCCATATCTCCATCTTCTTCATTACGACCTATCTCACTGTCCTTCACATCTCCACCTTCTTCACAACGGCCTTTCTCACTGTCCTTCACATCTCCATCTTCTTCATAACGACCTATCTCACTCTCCTCCACATCTCCAGCTTCTTTCTAACTACCTCTGTCGCTGTCGTCCACATCTCCATCTTCTTCATAACAACCTATCTCGCTCTCCTCCACATCTCCATCTTCTTCATTACGACCTATCTCACTGTCCTTCACATCTCCACCTTCTTCATAAAAACCTATCTCACTATCGTCCACATCTCCATCGTCTTCATAACGACCTATCTCACACTCCTCCACATCTCCACCTTCTTCATAACGACCTATCTCACTCTCCTTCACATCTCCATCTTCTTCATAACAACCTATCTCGCTCTCCTTCACATCTCCATCTTCTTTCTAACTACCTCTGTCACTGTCGTCCACATCTCCATCGTCTTCATAACGACCTATCTCACTGTCCTTCACCTCTCCACCTTCTTCATAACGGCCTATCTCACTGTCCTTCACATCTCCATCTTCTTCATAAAAACCTGCCTCACTCTCCTCTCCACCTTCTTCATAACGACCTATCTCACTGTCGCCCAGATCTCCATCTTTTTCATAACGACCTATCTCACTGTCCTTCACATCTCCACCTTCTTCATAACGGCCTATCTCACTGCCCTTCACATCTCCATCTTCTTCATAACAACCTATCTCGCTCTCCTTCACATCTCCATCTTCCTTCTAACTACCTCTGTCACTGTCCTTCACATCTCCACCTTCTTCATAACAACCTATCTCGCTCTCCTTCACATCTCCACCTTCTTCATAACGACCTATCTCACTCTCCTTCACATCTCCATCGTCTTCATAACGTCCTATCTCACTGTCCTTCACATCTCCATCTTCTTCATAAAAACCTGCCTCACTCTCCTCTACATCTCCACCTTCTTCATAACGACCTATCTCACTCTCCTTCACATCTCCATCTTCTTCATTACGACCTATCTCACTGTCCTTCACATCTCCACCTTCTTCACAACGTCCTTTCTCACTGTCCTTCACATCTCCATCTTCTTCATAACAACCTATCTCACTCTCCTTCACATCTCCATCTTCTTCATAACAACCTATCTCGCTCTCCTCCACATCTCCACCTTCTTCATAAAAACCTATCTCGCTCTCCTCCACATTTCCACCTTCTTCAGAACAACCTATCTCGCTGTCCTTCACATCTCCACCTTCTTCACAACGGCCTTTCTCACTGTCCTTCTCATCTCCATCTTCTTCATAACAACCTATCTCACTCTCCTTCACATCTCCATCTTCTTCATAACAACCTATCTCGCTGTCCTTCACATCTACATCTTCTTCATAACGACCTATCTCACACTCCTCCACATCACCACCTTCTTCATAACAACCTATCTCGCACTCCTCCACATCTCCATCTTTTTCATAACGACCTTTCTCACTGTCCTTCACATCTCCACCTTCTTCACAACGGCCTATCTCACTGTCCTTCACATCTCCATCTTTTCCATAACGACCTATCTCACTCTCCTCCACATCTCCATCTTCTTTCTAACTACCTCTGTCACTGTCGTCCACATCTCCATCTTCTTCATAACAACCTATCTCGCTCTCCTCCACATCTCCATCTTCTTCATTACGACCTATCTCACTGTCCTTCACCTCTCCACCTTCTTCTTAACAACCTATCTCGCTCTCCTCCACATCTCCATCGTCTTCATAACGACCTATCTCACTGTTCTTCACATCTCCACCTTCTTCATAACAACCTCTGTCACTGTCCTTCACATCTACACCTTCTTCATAAAAACCTATCTCACTGTCCTTCACATCTCCATTTTCTTCATAAAAACCTGCCTCACTGTCCTTCACATCTCCATCTTCTTCATAAAAACCTGCCTCACTCTCCTCCACATCTCCATCTTCTTTCTAACTACCTCTGTCACTGTCGTCCACATCTCCATC